CTTGTATCCACCACAGAATAAAATTGTACTACATAGCCGGGCGCGGTGACTCACGCCTGTAATCCCAGCACTTTGGGAGGCCGAGGCGGGCGGATCACAAGGTCAGGAGATCGAGACCATCCTGGCTAACACGGTGAAACCCCGTCTCTACTAAAAATACAAAAAAATTAGCCGGGCGCGGCGGCGGGCGCCTGTAGTCCCAGCTACTCGGGAGGCTGAGGCAGGAGAATGGAGGCCGAGCTTGCAGTGAGCCGAGATCGCGCCACTGCACTCCAGCCTGGGCAACAGAGCAAGACTCTGTCTCAAAAAAAAAAAAGAAAAGAAAAAAAATTGTACTACATTATATGAATGCCTGATAGTAAATTTTAAATAATTTCATGATGTTTCTCATGTGTAGTCTGAACTTTCTGCATACTGACTCCTCTGTAAATGTATGTAACATTCAAAATTTCTTTTGTAACAAATCTTTAAGTATATATTGTGCAGAGAAGTCTCATTCTCATGAAAATGTGTTTTCTTGCATTCATTAAAATTTTTAGAAAAGAATTGTAGCAAAATTTTTCAAGTTTTTTCTTAATATATTATTTAAGGACTATAAACTTATATGTATTCTTGTTATTGATTTATAGGACATTAATGTGGTGTTTCAGTAAATTTCTATAAATAGCTCACTTTATCGTTCAGATCTCTATCTAAACGGGGAATACTGTACTTCATCATCCTAAATAGTTCCTTGATTATTAAAACTCTAATAATATGTTCAGAAATGAAAACAGATACTTCAATATAATATTGTTTATAACTGAGCCTTTGAAAATAGCAATGAAATATTTATAGTTTAAAAACTAAATACCTGAATTTTTCATTATGAAATATTTTCCCATTCCTCTTGTTAATCAACATTGGTAAATTTTTATTTCATGTATTCTCCAGTCTTTATATAATGTTTTCACTTAGATTATGCCATTTTAACATTTACCATTTTACTGTCTGTCACAGATTGCTTATAAACTTCATAATTATTCAAACGAATTATCTATTTGCTAATGATAAAGAATTCATCTAAGCTTGCAAAGAGATCGCAGTTGTAGAAAATTAAATCTCACTAGGTAATTACTATAATTATAAGAGAAATTAAATGCAAGCAACAGAAATGCTACATTGACTAAAATAAGATATATAAGACTATTTTTATTATGGAGAATTTATAAAATAGCTATTAAAATATAATTCCATTTGAATCAAATTAAACCATCTTTAAGACAAATCAAATTATTATAAACTACATTATATTCACTGTTTTAGTGTTTGGATATTGTTGCTAACCTACCAGTCTTTTTATAACTGTGGGCTGAGTACTACATAAAATTAAATGATATGCAGTTTTCCCATTCAAATATTTCGATCTAAGTTTTAAAGATATAAGTAAAGAATAGTTGCATGTCCATTTCCAAGATAAACAAAAAAGAACCACAGCTTTGAGATGAAAGTCCCATTATTAATAGCAATACATTGATGTATCATATATATATAATGTATGCATACATAATATATAATATATAATGTATGTATACATATACATATAAAATGTATGAATGTTAGAGAAAGGAGAGGGAGGGAGTGAAGGGAGAAGGAGAATAAAAGCCTTTACAAATTAACATTTGGGTAATAGAATGTTTTTTAATTCCGTAAATCTCAAAGAGGAGGTTAAGGAAATCACAAACCTCCCACATAGTAAAGCGGCAAAAAGGAGAATGAAAATAGATGAGATTAGAAAAGCACCAGATCAGTACAGCACTTGAATATGTAATTAAGAAATGATCCAGAAAAAGAGAATAGAGGTGGAAAAGAGGGAGAGAAAACGGAGAAATGGAAGGAAATAATTAACAAGAAATTATTTTAATAATTCTAAATATTTCTTGGAAATAAGAGACTTTGGTTCCTTAATTAAAAAAAAAAATACAGCTTTTCATCATGAAGCTTAAAACACTGGAAACAAAGAGCAGTTTTTAAAAATTCTAAACAGGATAAAACCTAACTCTATTGTAATATACTATTCTGTACCATTATGTACTAACTCATTTAATACATGATTCTGTTAGTAGAAACTATCATGATTGCCATTGTACAGCTGAGGAACTTGAGAAAAAGAGTAAAGAACTTTCTGGATGTCACCCAGCTAGTAAGTAGTGGAGCTGAAAGTCAAACCAAGTAGTCTTTTAGAGTTTATACTATTAGCCATTACACAATACAGGAATCCTTAATTTAGGGTGAGAACCATGATAAATTCCCAATGAATTAAAGAGCTAAAGTTAGAAAAAATGTATGAAAGTATTAAGAAGAAAGTAGGAGAAAACATTTTAATATTACTGCAATGAAGAAAGACTTGTTATCAAGACACAAAACCTAGAAAACACAAAGACAGATTTGACCACAAAAAATTAAATACTTTATGTAGGAAAAAAAAGAAATTAACTAAACAATGAGATGCAATTTTTTGTATTCAACTTGGAAAAATTTTTAAAAATCTAATAATATTCATCTTTCTAATGTTAAGAAAGTACTTTTATATCCATTAGGTGGGAATGTAAATTAGTGCAATGCAGTTTGACAGTTTATATCAGAAACCTAGTGCCACATAACAGCCATTAAATTAAAAAATAATTTTTTGACAATTTGAAGAATCAGAAATTGCATGTCATATTTAATCATTGTATGTAATTTTAAGCCAAATTATATAATTTCACAAACAAGTGCAAATACCTCCCAGAGTAAAGGCCAAGAAAATAATTGTTCTAACGTCCAAACCCACTAAGTTGTATTACATTAATTATGTTCAGTTTTTGTTACCAATTATACCTCAATGAAGCTAGAAGAAAAAAAAATCCCTATAAAAAGAAAAGATGTCATGAATTAATGTCTCCTGATTCATTTTGATTTTTATCTTGTTATAGACTGACTTTATCCCCCCAAAAATACATAGGTTGACTCCCCAAACCCACATATGACTGTATTTAAAGATATTTAAAGAGATAAGTAAGGTAAAATGAGGTCATATGGGTAGAACCTCATCTGATACAACTGGTGTTCTTATAAGAAAAGGAAACTAGGACACCGACATGCTCACACACAGAGGAAAGGCCATGTGAGGACACAAGAAGACGGCCATCTGCAAACCAAGGAAAGAGGCCTCAGAAGAAAGCAACTCTGCCAACACCTTGATCTTGGACTTTCTGCCTATAAAACTTCAAGAAAACAATTGTGGCTGAAGCGACACAATCTGTGGTGTTTTATTATGGCAGCCTCAGCAGACTAAGACATAGCTTTACTTGTTTGAATTGAATTGTTTTTTGTTCTTGAGCAACACACTTCATGATTTTGAAGGTACCTGAACCAAGTCTTAATGCATTGACTTGTGAAAATTGATATTACTTCTTCTCTGAAGCTGTGCTGTATCCTAAAGTGACCGATGTGTTTAAAGGGCTTCTATAAGGAAAAGTAGAACATGTTAAGGGCAATGCTTTGGCTTCTGTTTCCAGGAAACCTAGGTCTGACTTCTTGTGCACTATCCAGCTTAGCAAGTTGTTAAATACCTCTGGGCTTCCAATTTTTTTTTCCACATGTAAAGCGAAGATATGTGTATGAGTAAGGGTTTTCCAGAGAAATACAACCAGTAGGATACATATAGATATATAAGAGGAGATCTATCATGGGAATTGGCTCGCCTTATTTGGAGGCCAAGAAGTTCCATGATCTGCCATCTGCAAGCTGGAGACCTGAAGTAGTGTGATGCAGTCCAAGTCTGAAGGCCTGAGAACCAGGAAAGCCAATGGTGTGAATCCCATAGTCCAAAGGCCCAGAGCTCTGATGTCTGAGGGCAGAAGAAGATGGATGTTTCAGCTCAAACAGTGAGAAAATGTGTCATTCCTCCTTTTTCTGTTCTATCCAAATGGACTGGATGATGCCCACCCGTATTGGTGAGGGCAGATTTTCTTTAGTCTACTGATTCAGGTGCTAACCTCCCCTCAAATACGTACACAGACACACTCAGAAATAATGTTTCACCAACTATCTGGGCATTCTTTAACCACTTCCTGTTGACACATAAAAGCCATCATAATATGCAATCTCACTGTACAGAGTTGATACGAGGATTTTTAAAAATATGATTTCTAAGGTACTTTGTACTGGATCTACATGAAATATATGCTCAGCGAACAGTGGTTATTATATTATGGCTTTTCTACATCACTGTCTTTATGGATTAAAACCATTGATCTTCATTCCCCATTTCTCAAATGTGCTGAACATGAGCCTGAACACCCCTAACAAATCTATTTAAGGTCACGAAGCTGAGACCCTGAGATCTCCAGAGGAATTTCAGAAGCACTCTAGGAGAGCACAATGATCAAATCATAACCATAATAGTCTGGTTTTACTTATAATTAAAACAAATTGAATAAAATTCAGATACAGTTTATAGACAAGATGTTGGCAATAAGTCCTAGTATTTCTAAGCATAATTAATGTATGGTATGTTGATTTTGTATCCTGCAACTTTAGTAAATTTGTGTGTCACCTCTAAGAGTTTTTTGGTGGAGTCTTTAGATTTTTCTAAATATAAGATCATAACACCTTCAAACTAGGATAATTTGACTTCTTTTACAACTTGGATGCCCTTTATTTCTTTCTTTTGCATAACTGCTCTGACTAGGACTTCTAGTACTATGTTGAATAAAAGTGGTAAAAGTGGGCATTCTTGTTTTGTTCCAGTTCTTAGTGGAAAGGCTTTCAATTTTTCCCCATTCTGTATGATATTAGCTGTGGGTTTGTCAAAAATAGCCCTTATTCGGTTGAGAGATGTTCCCTTTATACCCAATTCATTGAGGCTTTTTATAATGAAGGGATGTGGAATTTTATCAAGTGCTTCTATAGCATCTATTAAAATGATCATGTAGTTTTAGTTTTAGTCCTTGATTTTGTTGATGTAATGTATCATGTTTACTGATTGTTAAACCATCCTTGCATCCTGAGGAGGAATCCCACTTGATTAAGATGAATGATCTCTTTAATGTGTTGTTTAATTCTATTTGCTAACATTTTGTTGAGAATTTTTGAATCTATGTTCATCAGAGATATTGGCCTGTAGTTTTTTTTTTTTTCTATCTTTGTCTAGTTTTAGTATCAGAGTCATACTTGCCTCATAGAGTAGGTTTGGAAGTATTATCTCCTCTTAAATTTTTTTAAATAGTTTGAGTAAAACTGGTATTAGTTCTTTACATATTAGGCAAAAGTTAGCAGTGATTCCACTAGGTCCTGGGCTTTTCTTTGGTGGAAGACTTTTATTACTCCTACAATCTCATTATTCATATGGCCTGTCAGCAGTTTTTCTATACATTAACAGCAAACAATCTGAAAAAAAAAAAAAAGACAGCAATTTCATTCACAATGGCTATGAAATATAAAGAAGACAATTTCATTTACAACAGCTATTAATGCAAATATAATACAAATATAATAGAATAAATTTAATCAAAGAAGTCAAACATCTTTACAACAAGGAACACTACAAAATACTGATGAAAGAAATTGAAGAGTACAAAAAAATGGAAAGATTCCATGTTCATGGATTGGAAGAATAAATATTGTTAAAATGTCCATACTACCCAAAGCAATCTACAGATTTGAAACAATCCCTATCAAAATACCAATAACATTCTTCACAGAAGTAGAAAAGACAATTCTAAAATTCACATGGTACCACAAAAGACCCCAAATAACTAAAGATATCCTGAGAAAAAGAACAAAGCTGGAGACATCACACTATCCAATTTCAAATTAAACTACAGTGATATAGTAACAAAAACAGCATGGTACTGGCAAAAACAGAAACACAGAACAATGGAAAGAGTTGAGAACCCAGACATAAATACACGCGCTTAACAGCCAACTCATTTTTAACAAAGATGCTGACAGCATACCTCAAAGAAAGGACAGTCTGCTTAATAAATGGTGCCAAGAAAATGGTTATTTATACACAGAATTAAACTAGATTCCCATCTTTCACCACATATAAAACTCAAAGTGGAGTAAAGATTTAAATTTAATACCTAAAACTTGAGACTATTGAAAGAAAATATTGGGGAAATGCTACAGGACATTTAGTCTGGACAAAGATTTTGGGGAGTAAGACCACAAAAGTACAGGAAACAAAAGCAAAATAGACACATGGTATTATATCATGCTAAAAAGCTTCTGCACAGCAAAGGGGAAAAAAGCTAACAAATCAATGAGACGACATAAAGAATGGGAGAAGATATTCCTAAACGATTGATTTGAGTAAGAATAACCCGAATATATAAATAATTTAAATATATGTGTGTGTGTGTGTTGTGTAAAAAATATATATAATAATAAATATATACACACACAAGCTCAACATAACTAATCATTAGAGAAATGCAGATCACAACTACAATGGGATATCATCTCACCCCACTTAGACTGTTATTATCAAAAAGACAAAAAAATAACAAATGCCGTCAAGGATGTGGAAAAGGGGAACGCTCACATAGTGTTGGTGGGAATGTTAAGTGGTACAGCTATTATGGAAAATAAAATGGAGATTTCTCAAAAAAACCAAAAGTAAAACTGTCATATGATCCAGCAATCCCATTCTAGGTACATATCCAAAAGAAAGGAAATTAGTATGTCAAAGAGATATTTGCATTCCCATGTTTATTGCAGCACCATTTAAAATAGCCAAGATACAGAATCAACCTATGTCCATAAACAGATGAATGGATAAAGAAAATGTGGTACATATATATGATGGAATGCTATTCAGCCATAAGAAAGAATGAGATCCTGTCATTTCCAGTGACATGGATGGAACTAGGGTCATTATGTCAAGTGAAATAAGCCAGGCACAAAAAGACAACTATTACACGTTCTCACTCATGTGAGAGCTGAAAAAGTGGATCTCATGGAGATAGAGAGTAGAATGGTGGTTTCTAGAGGTTGGGAAGGGAAAGGGGAAGGAGGAGATGAAGTGAAGTTAGTTAATGGAAGCAAAAATACAGTTAGAAGGAATAAGTTTCAATATTCCATAATATAGTAGATATTATAGTTAACAATATTTTATTGTATTTTTCAAAATAGCTGGAAGAGAATAACTCCAATATGTCTAACACACAAAAAGAGATAAATGTCTGAGATGATGAATATCCCAATTACCCTGACTTGATCATTACACATTCTATACATGTTTCAGAACATCATGTGTTCTCTCAAAATATATGCAACTGTAATATATTAATAAAAATATACAAATACACATTTAAATAATAAGTTTATTTATTACAAGATATTGTAGAGAGCCCTGGGTTGCTTCTACTTCCGGTCTGGTTTTCACATTTACTTAACTGCCCAATTATTAGATACTCTGTATCAGTCAATTTTCACAATGCTATAAAGACATACCCAAGACTGGGTAAGTTATAGAGAGAGGAGATTTAATTGACTCACAGTTTTCCATGGCTGTGGAGGCCTCAGGAAAGTGACAATCATGGCGGAAGGGGAAGAGTCACGTCTTCCATGACTACAGGCAAGAGAGAGCAAATGAACAAAACAGGAACTTGCCAAACGCTTATAAAACCATTAGATCTCATGAGAACTCACTCACTATCACAAGAACAGCATAGGGGAAACGAACCCCACAATCCAGTCACCTCCCATCAAGTCTCTCCCTCAACACCTGGGGATTACAATTCAAGATGAGATTTGGGTGAGGACATAAAGCCTAACCATATCACCATAAGAAGCTTCCAGCCCCCAATTCATTGCAGTCAGAGCCCGTGAAATAAATGGGCTCTCTTCTGTATGCAAGTCCTTCCTTCCATTCTGTCCTCCACCCTCCATCCATGCTTACATCTGCAGCCTGCCTGCTCCTTTTTCCTCTAATGACTAGAAGCTACTTGTTAAAGGATGACAGGGTCTCCTCTGTGTCTGTCTAGGCCCAACTGTTAATGCGTTGACTCTGGGCTGCTTGTGTCCTCATCAGATGACTGTTACTTATTTAACACATTGTTTGTTGTTTTGTTTTGTTGTTTATAGGGACAGTATCCTTCTATCTACCCCAGATTCTAACAAAGTAATAAAACACATACATTCAAACTGTTAAATGGCTTTACCAGGCTTACTGTCTTTTACTAATTAATACTGCAAATTTTATGCTTTGGGATCTTTCTGACTTTCTACAAAAACAATTTCCTTCATAGTGTATATCAAGAATAAAATCGGTGTTATTAAGATAAAAATTCAGAGGTTAGCCAAAAGGGAACCCTTGTTGGTAACTGTGTGTCAGCAACAACGCATTTCTTAATTCCTCAGGAAGGAGAAGATATTCACTATGTGCTGTCAGTCTCGATTTTTTCTTCCATTCATAATGTGAATCTTTGGTTTTGCATTTCCATTTGATTGTTGTTTTCTACTGAATTTGTGCTCCTTCTAGTTCATTACTAGTTTGGATTTTTATGATACAGCAGAGAAACTTCTTTTAAGACTAGAGTGGTTTTGCTTTTATTGTGTGACAGTCATGAGTTCCTGGAATTAGAGAGAGGGTCATATAATTTTGGCAGAATAAAGCGAATTTTTTAAATGGTCTCTGTAGCCAATATATTTTCTTATTTATGGAATGGGACTACATTTCCAGGGCATGTATACATACCCTAGTGAGAAATTGGTGGGTAGTGGTGGTACGAGTGTCATTTCAGAGTATACTTGAACTACGAGATAAATGTGATATTTTTTTCCCCCAGATTGTCAACATTACCTAGATATATGGGTAGAAAATAGTATTTTCTATTAAAACAAACATGAATACACAATAGATTAATAAAGGTAAGAGGACTTTTAAAATAAGCCAATAACCATTAACAATTTTATTGCTTTTAAATTGTAGCATCCCTCAGATTCCAAAGGTACGTATTGGCCTTATTTGTCTTTAGTGGGTGATCTGGAGGAAAAGTTTAGGAAACATTTAACTAGAGTCCTTGTATAGTGTGATGAGCAAGTCTGTTGCATCAGGTTTTTAATTTAAGCCACAAAGTTGATTTTTATTTTGTTTTGCTTCCATCAACACTGCCTAGGGGCATAATTCAAATGAACATACAAAATGCTTAATTATTTCTCTCTTTTATTCTCATACTCGTTGTTGCCAAAATCAGACAGCATTTACAAAACCTTCACATATAGAGTACTGATTGAGGTATGCTATTTTTGTAATATGTATTAAATAGCATCATTTGTGAATTATCTGTAAAGAAATGGTTGCAGTAAGAAAAATCATAATTCAATTTCTAATTAGACTAGAAATTCTTCACAGAAGAGGTGAAGAAAGCGATGCTGACCTTGAGGGGGAAAATATTCTAAGTATGTCATAGTGAATGTCTTAGTCTTTTTTGTGTTGCTATAACAGAATGCCACAGACTAGGTAATTAATAAGAAAAGAAATGTATTTATTACAGTTCTGGAGACCGGGAAGTCCAATACTGAGGGGCCCACCTCTAGTGAGGTCCTTCTTCTTGCATCATCCTATGGTGGAAGGCTGAGGGGCAAGACAGGATTGAAACAGCAAGAAGGAGCAGAACTCACTTTTATAGCAAAGCCACTTCTGTGATAACCCACTTCTGTGGCAATGAAATTAATATATTCATGATGATAGAGCCCTCATGACCTAATTACCTCTTATTAGTCCCCACTGCCCAACACTGTTGCATTGAAAATTAAGCTCTCAACACATGAACTTTGGAGGACAAATTTGAACCATACTAGTGAGGGACAGCATATTGAGATGGTGGAGAAAGCATAGGTGTTCAGCAAAAAAAAAAAAAAGTGCAAGAATATCACCCCTTTAGTGCAGAAAAAAAAATTAACATTTATTGCATATCTATCATACTAGGTGTCTCCTATATGTTGTTTCATTTAAATCCTGAAAATACCTTGAGAAACTATATTTTCCCCATGCAGAAAAAATGAGGCTCCACAAGGCATGGAAGAACTCAAGTCTGTCTGTTTCAAAAGCCCATGGCAGTGGGGGAATTTGCACACTGTGCAGGGGAAGTTATTTGTGATTATTGAAGTGATGTGTACAGTTTTATAACTTGCTCTTCTAAGCCCCGTTGGCTGTCTTCTGTGACCCTACATAGCACTGGCTGTATGGATTCTCGATTTGATGTTTATTGTCTGTCTTTGACCATCGTTCAGAACAGCATGTGTACTCTAGAAGTCATGCTTCCATACTTTCTTTCCTGTGGCGCCTTGAATTATTTTAATAGATGATTGTTAATATTAATTGCATGACTGACTTTTTACATCTAAGATTCTAGGATTTTAAAAACCGTGTTAATAGGCAAAGTCTATTTTGAATTTTCAACTTAAGCTTCAGTTCTCAGCCCACAAGTAGTGTGAATTAAAGATGCTTCAGCATTTGTTCTTTCAGATATGTCTAAAACTTTAAAAATATATAACAGGATAAAACCAAGGCCAGGAGCATGATCTTCATATTATAGACTTTCTAGCTGTCTTATGCTGATAAATGCCGTATCTTCAATTACAGAAACTATGAATTATCATGTAGAGTCAATGGTAACATGAGACAAAATCATCAACTTTTAAGTGCTTTTTCCCATATCAGCTTAGTGTATCAGAACTTTGTCATTTCATCATGCCAAAATGCCACCTCCTTAGGGAGCCTTTGCTGACCTCCCTAGTTGCCAATCCTGCTTGGAGACTACCATGACGTGGTGGCAGCACTTATCATGGATTAACTCATTGATTTAATACTCAAAAGGATCATAGAAGCTAAATGCCACGATATCATCCAGAATTTTTAGACAAGGAAACTGAGAAACCAAGAGAAGAAGTAATTCCATTAAGATGGGTTACAGGCTAGGAAGTAGCAGAGGCAACATATATACCTGGTATTCTAGCTCCAGAGATCCTACCTCTAACCTCTAACCACTCCCTTAAAACCTCCCCAGCCCCTCCTCTAGAGTCTCCCCCTGCTCCTTCCCCTTCCCTAATCCCTTCACTAGCTGCTCCCCTAACTCATCGCCTAGTTCCTCCCCTAACTCCTCCTGCAGCCCCTCCCCTAGTTCCTTTCATGACTGCTTCTTTCCCTAGCCCCTCCATTAGTTCCTCTTTCCGTAGCCCCTACCTTAGCTCCTTCCCTAGTCCCTCTAACTCCTCCCCAAGCCTCACCCCTAGATTCTCCCCTAACTCCTCCCCCAGCTCCACTCAGTCTCTCCCTAGCTCCACTCCTAGTCTCTCCCTAACTCCACTCCTAGTCTCTCCCTAACTCCTCCTCTAGCTCCTCCCCATCCCTTCCCGTATCCCTCCCCTAGTCTCTCCCTAGCTCTTCCAGTCTCTCCCTAACTCCTCCCCTAGCTTCTCCCCAGTCTCATCTCCTTAGCTCCTCCCCTCGTCTCTCGCTAACTCTTCTAGCCCCTCCCCTAGTCTCTCCCTAGCCCCTCCCATAACTCCTCCTTTAGCCCCTCCCCTAGTCTATCCCTTAACTCCTCCCCAGTCTCTCCCTAGCCCCTTCCACTGGTCCCACCCCTAACTCCTCTCCTAGCTTCTTCCCTGATCACTACCTTAACCCATCCTTTAACTCTGACTCCTCCCCTCCTCTGCCCTGCTTCATTTTTCCTTCGCTATATCATCAGGGTCTTGCTGAAATTAAAAGAGTTTGATGAGGAGGCTGCTTAAAGAGCTGGGGGAACCGATGAGAAAATGAGGGCATGCGCAACAGCAGGAAGCATCACTACCCTCAGGCCTGCAAGCCAGGCGAGGAGTGCAGGGCAGGACCCTAGGAGAAAGGGAAGGGAGGGACTAGTAGAACCTCCAGGCGCTGTGGGGCAGAAAGCTCTGGAAACTCAGAGGACTGGCTCCAGCAGAGCCAGGGGTGTGGGGCAGGAGGTGCGAGGGAAAAGCCCCTCTTTTTGATCCACTCTTGGTGAGCCTGGTGCGCTTTCCTTGATGTGGACAGCAACAGAATCCAAGACATCGTGAATCTAAAATAATTTTTTTTTTAATGCAAGATTTTTCTCCCAGTATTTTGCCGTTTAAGTGTTTCTACCACTAAGTGGTTAAGTGGTTCCGTTTTAATTAGCCTTTTACTACCCAGTTCATGTGCGTTTCCTCCCTGCATACCAAGCTTCCCACACTGAGAGAGTATTTTCCATGTCGCCAAACACACCTGGCAATAAAACAGGCTTAAAGCGAGTGACATTGCCAAGGACAGAGCCACCTGAGGAGCCTGACACAGAGATGGTCGGTGCTCAGCGTTAACAGATTGTCTTCTCTGTGTTCCTCGTCCAAGCGATCGGATAACACACAAATCAGACTCAGCACAGCCCCTTCTTTGGGTAAAACAGAAACCCTGAAAGAGCGTGACTTACTACATCTATTTTTCTTCTCCCGCTAAGCTCATCCATTAGATACAAATCATTCTCAAGTATGAAGAATAATTGCTGGCTTAAAAAGGATGAGGGGGAAAAAAACAAATAAATAAAGATGAGAAAACGACTGGAAAGTTCATCGGAAGCCTTAGTTAGCATGCATGCATTTCTCTGTACTTTGTTAGCATTCTGAAAAGTTTTCGGTAATCACT